TTATCGGCGGAATATTTGCGGAATGTTGCCCAGATGGTAAACCATTATTTCTGGATTTGAGAAGTACTAATTTGATACCTACTTTCTAGAATTACGCAAACAATATGACAGAGAGCTCTAGGTTGTGATGCTTCCAGTTTTGCCCACGTTTGATAGTAGTTAAAATAAAACCGGTAGTCAATATTACAGTGCCTTGCCGCACAATAGTATTACTTGCTTGTCAGTTAATGGTAGTTGTGGGACCGATAGCAGCGTACAGTTTTCGGAGTTTGAACAGTAAGGAACGGAGGATAGTGGCCAAATACAAAAACCTTTTATATCAGTTGCGTATGTGCATGCCCCTCCTCAAATTCAAAGATTGTGAGAAATTTTAGGGTACGGTTCATTGTTTTCTTAGCACTATTTTATTTCTCTATTCGATAGGGTTTTGTGTGCTATTCAATTTTTATAAGTGGTGTCCTGTGCCTAAACCCCTAGTTTTTAGATTATTGAATATTTTTCACAAAACAATAATGAATTACATGTTTATATACAGGATCGAGTAAATAGTGATAATAGAAACCAAAAGAATTCCAGTAAGCAAGTGTCACAAGTAAATTATTTGCTGCAATTAATGTGCTCCCTATTTCGTAGTAAAATAAGATTAAGTAAAAAGGCGAATTTCGAACTAGTCTTTTTAAAAAATCGTATTTTACTAGGAAATAACGAGTACACTTGCAGCAAACAATTAATTTATGGCACTTGTTTACTATTTGGCATTCTTTGGTTTTTTTATTATCACGGTTTACTCCTGTTTATAATAATGTAATTCATTAATGTGTAACTGTTTAGTGAAAAATATTGAATAACTTAAAAACTACGGGGTTTAGGCACAGGATATCTAAGAATTAAAGAGCGCACAACAGACCGTCGAATAGAGAAACAAAATAGTGGTAGTTCCATTTGAATAAAAATAGTTATAGCACTTTGAAAACTAGAAATTTTACAATTTTTTTGTAAATTCACAAAATTCTGTATCATTAAATTCAACTTTCTCATTACCAAGTGTTGCCTTTTATTCAGATTAAAATTATTGATTTCTATTTCTTAACTTTAAAATCAAGGTCGCTACGATTTATCAAAATGGGACTGGTTTATAGAGAATTATTCGGAAAAAAATTAATAATTTGGCCTGCAGAGGTTAAAAAATGACATCGAATAAGCTAAAAATAAACAGGCTGTTCCATTAAAAAAATCAGCTGTGTATTGACACCGTAAACATGAGACACTCTGTACATTCAAAAATAATTTCTGTAGATGCACAACCTTCTATAGTTGACATTTGCACAAAAGATTTTTGCTATCTTTTTACCAGGTATGAACTTGGAAAGACCGACGCAGTGTTATAGGACCCTGTATAATTGTTATAAATCGTAAAAAACGAAGAAAGAATGGGAAAATGTCGTCTTTTTAGCGCATTTCCACAAAAATAAAAAACAAGTTAAAAAGTAATCGTAAACGATTTACATAAAGCGCATTTCCACTTGCATTCATTGCCCATTTGTAAGATGCAACTTCTGTTAAAATCGTAAAAATCCGGCCACAAATATGAAAGATAGCGTTGCACATGGGCAATCCATTTTTGACGTGCTACTTCAAGTTCAGTTTATGAGAAGAATTTCATTTCAATGCTTTTCTAAATAAGAAAGTTGGAACTGCGCATGCGCAAACCTAAATTTTGAAACTAATGTTAGATTTTCCTTGTTCCAAGCGCCTAAATATCAAATTTCACTTAAATGCTTCCATAGATAAAAAAGTTGGCACTGCGCATGCGCAAAATAAAATTTTGAAACTGGCGCTAGATTTTCCTTTATTCCAAGCACCTATGTATCAAATTTCATTTAAATGCTTCCATAAATAAAAAAAATTGACACTGCGCATGCGCGAAACCAAATTTTGAAACTGGTGTTAGATTTTCCTTTATTCCAAGCACCTATGTATCAAATTTCATTTAAATGCTTCCATAAATAAAAAAAAATTGACACTGCGCATGCGCGAAACCAAATTTTGAAACTGGTGTTAGATTTTCCTTTATTCCAAGTGCCTATGTATCACATTTCATGTAAATTCTTCCATAAATAAAAAGTTGGCACTACGCATGCGTAAAACCAAATTTTGAAATTGGCGTTTGATTTTCCTTTATTCCATGTGCCTATGTATCAAATTTCGCTTAAATTCTTCCATAAATAAAAAAGTTGGCACTGCGCATGCGCAAAACCGAATTTTGAAATTGGCGTTTGATTTTCCTTTATCCCAAGTGCCTATGTATCAAATTTCGTTTAAATTCTTCCATAAATAAAAAAGTTGGCACTGCGCATGCGCAAAACCGAATTTTGAAACTGGCGTTTGATTTTCCTTTATTCCAAGTGGCTATGTATCAAATTTCATTTTCATTTAAATATTTTTATAATTAAAAAAGTTTGTAATTCGGTTTATAAATGGTCGAGATGCGAAAAGGGCACTGTGAATTTTGAATCGATTCGACTCAACTTTTGGCATTGCGTATTATATGGCTAAAGCTATGCCCATATTTCATTTCATGCAATTCAGTTAATAACTAACGGAGATGTAAAGGCGATCGGACATTTCTAAACAAAGTTATCGTTCACACGGACAGATACAGGGACAGACAGACAAAGGAACAGACAGCAATACAACATTATAAACGATCTCTAGGATCGTTAATAAACGGCAAAAGTGTAAAATTGTGGAACATGTAAAAAACGGTTTTTTGTTTTTTTTACAATAACTTTTTTTGTAAGCGGTACAGAAAAAATTCCTTCCTTGGTGCAAGACTCGACACCATAACGAACCATAACGACCAAATAGCGAAAAAAGTAGAACAATAGCTCTTAAGATAAAGAACTAGTAGCGTCGCAAAACGAGAGGACGAACGGACGGACGGACGCACGGACGGACAAAGTGGCCACAATAGCGCATTTATTTTTTATTTTTGTGGAAATGCGCTAAAAATGCGCTATTGTGGCCACTTTGTCCGTCCGTCCGTCCGCTCGTTTTGCGACGCTACTAATTCTTTATCTTAAGAGGTATTGTTCTACTTTTTTCGCTATTTGGTTCGTTATGGTGTTGAGTCTTGTACCAAGGAAGGAATTTTTTCTGTACCGCTTACAAAAAAAGTTATTGTAAAAAAAACAAAAAACCGTTTTTTACATGTTCCATAATTTTACACTTTTGCGGTTTATTAACGATCCTAGAGATCGTTTATAATTTTGCATTGCTATCTGTCGCCTGCCGGTTGGTCTCTCCGTCTGTTCCTTTGTCTGTCTGTCCATCTATCTGTCCGTGTGAACCATAACTTTGTTTAGAAATGTTCGATCGCTTTTACATCTCCGTTAGTTATGAACTGAATTGCATGAAATTCAATATGGGCATAGCTTTAGCCATATAATACCCAATGCCAAAAGTTGAATCGAATCGATTCAAAATTCACAGTGCCCTTTTCGCATCTCGACCATTTATAAACCGAATTGCAAACTTTTTACTTATAAAAGTATTTGAATGAAATTTGATACATAGGCACTTGGAATAAAGGAAAATCAAACGCCAATTTCAAAATTTGGTTTTGCGCATGCGCAGTGCCAACTTTTTTATTTATGGAAGCATTTAAACGAAATTTGATACATAGGCACTTGGGATAAAGGAAAATCAAACGCCAATTTCAAAATTTGGTTTTGCGCATGCGCAGTGCCAACTTTTTTGTTTATGGAAGAATTTAAATGAAATGTGATACATAGGCACTTGGAATAAAGGAAAATCTAGCGCCAGTTTCAAAATTTTATTTTGCGCATGCGCAGTGCCAACTTTTTTTTATCTATGGAAGCATTTAAGTGAAATTTGATATTTAGGAGCTTGGAACAAAGGAAAATCTAACATTAGTTTCAAAATTTAGGTTTGCGCATGCGCAGTTCCAACTTTCTTATTTAGAAAAGCATTGAAATGAAATTCTTCTCATAAACTGAAATTTAAGTAGCACGTCAAAAATGGATTGCCCATGTGCAACGCTATCTTTCATATTTGTGGCCGGATTTTTACGATTTTAACAGAAGTTGCATCTTAAAAATGGGAAATGAATGCAAGTGGAAATGCGCTTTATGTAAATCGTTTACGATTACTTTTTAACTTGTTGTGTATAACAATATATTTCGGGAGTTTCCGGCCAGGGGATTATGATTTTCGGATCCAGCGGATGTTTTTACATAGAGTGCACTTGGCTTTGTTGAGTGAAATGACATCCAGCCCAAACCGTACTTCTGATAAATTATAGGGCTTTGCATCGCGCCCTTCTGATAGTGTATTATTAGTATGGGTAAAAATAACAGTGTAAAAAGTATAGCAAACGAGCTCTTGGGTATGGCTATAGTATGTGCAAAACCAAATTGAACCTGGTGTTAGATTTGCTTTTATTCCAAGTGCATATGTATAAAATTTCAAAAATGCCTTCTATAATAGTGTGCTTTTATGGAAGAACACCATAGGTATTTTTATATGTCCCTAAGACAGTTTGAAAGATGGTGTGACAATATCCAAGGACTTTAAAAAATTGTTCACAGCATTTTTTTTCTTGTGTATTTCTTTTGTTTTTTTTATTTTAATACTCTTAACATATATTATTTATATTCTTTATGTTTTCGAATACTTTTTATTAACAATACATGAACATTGTTATTGGGGTAACCTGTTATGGTCATAAATAAATAAATAAATAAATGTATCAAATGTCATTTAAATACATTTATAAATTAAAAAAAGTTTTGCAATTCGGTTCATAAATGGCCGAGATACCAAAAGAGCACTTTGAATCGATTAGGCTCAACTTTTGCCATTGCGTATTATATTGCTAAAGCTATGCCCATATTGAATTTCATACAGTTCAGTTTATAACTCACGGAGATGTCAAAAGGGTCTTCCTTATTTTTTGGTCTACAGTGCCAATTCACGAACTCTGATCTACAAATTTGATAAAGAATCCACCTGCAAAATTTCGTCGTAATCGTCTCATTCGTTTTCGAGATATCGTGCTAACGGACAGACACCACATTATATACTCGCAAGGAGCTGGATAATAAGTGAATTGCACTAATAATAAAAATAAAAATAAGAACTTATCATTTTTTTATTTCCCATTTTCGCATATTTCCTTTGCGCTTTGAGCAGAATGTCAAGTTTCAATTTTTACAACGCTTCAATCATCCCAACCGGAACCACCAAAAGGACCTGAAATTATTACAAGATGCAGGTCAAGGGTTCGAGTCGTACCTACGCCAGATTCTTTTTTAACTAAAAGGTTTATTAAAAGTTCAAAATTAAGATGTGCGTACATTTTTTTACAAACGCCGAGAAAACAAAAAGATATACAAAAAACGTTATAAAAGATAAATTGTAGAGAATTTAATTTCCTACAAAAAATTCCGGATCGCATAATATGTATATTCGACCCTTAATATATGATAAGCAATCAAAGATACTATGAATGCCAACGCAATCAAGATGCGTAACTTTAAATGGTTGATATGGCTAAACGATTAAAGATAGATATATGCCGTCGCGGACTTTTTTGTAGTATTAATTATCTCCAATTTTTGTTCTATAAAATTTTGTGTATCCCAATTGGTATCGGCAGCGTTTTCATTTAAAGTGCGCGCGACTATTATAAGTACCAACAAAAGAATACAGTATTGAAATCTTCAGTGCAAACGCAATTCGTAGCATAATATCCGCTATAAAACCGATTATGTTATTATAAAAGTGGGAGAGGTACACCATAGCTCTCCTCCCATTGTCACGGAACCATAAGTTCCCATTTAGTTAGACTTCTTCCTAATTTTATACTCAAAGGCTGAAGTCAGTATCATCATCTGGAATTTAAAATCCCTTACGAAATCTGGTTGCCAAGCATGAGCGAAGAAATTGAGTCGAGGGTATTGTATGTATGCTGGTTGGTTTCGCCGTCATCACGAAGGATGGTTATCGGTTATGGAACGAAGAAAGGTAATCATCAGGAGAAATGTAATCTTCCAGGAAGAGAGTTTTCCATTTAAACAACCTGTGTCGACAGGACTAAGTGAATGCCAGAACAAAACTGAGACATTTTGAGATTACAAATTTTGACTGCAAATTCCTAAACGATTTAAACGAAGAAGAAGGAGTGCTTCCTGAATGGGCAAAATATGTGACAGAAATGATATGACTAATATATAACACCTATATCGAATCATGAACTTTTCTTGGTAAGGAATCTCCTTTGCTCTTGCATAGAGAAAATTTCAGTCTTCTCTATAGACACCTGCCTGGGAAGTTACGTATCCCCACGAAATTTTCTGAAACATAGCGTAATCGGTCAACTTCAAACTGATAGTGCAATCAATCTCTCGTTGAAAGGAATTTTCCCCACATTTGGAAGTGGGCTTGTACTTACATAAGAGGGTTACTACACCTGCACCTCGTCGCTGACGATACCATAAAGTTTAATATCACTATCTGTACGCATATCATCAAAATGATTAAGATAATTTTTAAGTGTTCGAGATAAGCCACCCGAGAAGTACCGATTATGGCAAGAATTAACAAAAATCTTTCCTCGCCGTAATTGTCGATACTCGCTCTTTTCATTTCGTGGACACGATGCAGAAGAAGGTGAACAAGAAGTTCATCATACCCTTGGTGCTAGGACTCGTGATACTAGTCGTTGGAGTAGTGCTAGTGTTAGTGGTGTTTCCAAAAGTTATCGACGATCAGATTATCGAGGTAAGTTTGAAATCGATAGTTTTCGAGATTGTATAACGTGTTTGTGCTGTAGAACGTGGTACTGAAGAAGGAAACTGTCCAATTGGAGAGATTTGTTAAGATTCCGTTTCCGTTCAAGTTCTCCGTGTATTTGTACACTATTGCGAATAAAGATGAAGTTCTAAATGAGGGGAAGAAACCGAAGGTGCGACAAATCGGACCATACGTTTACGAGTAAGTGCAATTTATATTTGCTTCCAGCAGATGGACGAAGTATCTACTGGTTGTCTCCATGTCACATATCTCCATGGTAATTTACACAAACGCAATGGGCAAAGTTTAATAGCCAATATTGTAAATGCGTTAAAATTACATAATGTCCTCATAAATCAAGTACCCGATCTCCGAGGACCTATCTTGATTAATACTTATCTCACACTCTTTGGGATGGCGTTTCGCGGTGCAACGAAGGTGGCACAACTTTAATTTATTTATAACGTCTGCCTACTTCATCTTCGTTCTTCCTTTTTGATCAGGTGAATTACTGGAACATTTTCATCCTCCAAAGTGCCAAACGTGCGTTCTTTCGACAAGAGTTTTGTTTTTGAAATCTGTAGATTGCTTCTTATCTATGTACATAACTGGTGGTTTGTAGAACATGTAAGACATCAATCAAGGAAACAAAGATATTCGCTGTACTACAAAAATTACACGACTCACAACATTCGAAATGCTATCTAGAAAGAAGTGTTGTAAAGAAAAAATTCTAATACTTGAACTGGGGAGGTGATATACCCGAGATGTACTTAAATGAAGGTTTGCGAATTCATCAACAAACTAAACAAAAATATTCGCTGTACTACAAAAATTAAACCACAACAACAGAGAAAATGATATGTAGAAAGAAGTGTTGGAAAGAAAAAATTCTAATACTTGAACTGGGGAGGTGATATACCCGAGATGTACTTAAATGAAGGTTTGCGAATTCATCAACAAACTAAACAAAAATATTCGCTGTACTACAAAAATTAAACCACAACAACAGAGAAAATGATATGTAGAAAGAAGTGTTGGAAAGAAAAAATTCTAATACTTGAACTGGGGAGGTGATATACCCGAGATGTACTTAAATGAAGGTTTGCGAATTCATCAACAAACTAAACAAAAATATTATTCGCTGTACTACAAAAACTACACCACAACAACAGAGGAAATGCTATGTAGAAAGAGCTTTTGTAAAGAAAAAATTCTAATACTTGAACCGGAGAGGTGCTCCACCCTTATACGTGCACTTAAATGAAGGTTTTCGGATGCTGTAAGCGAAATCAATCAACGAAACAAAAATATTCGCTGTACTACAAAAACTACACCACAACAACAGAGGAAATGCTATGTAGAAAGAACTTTTCTAAAGAAAAAATTCTAATACTTGAACCGGAGAGGTGCTCCACCCTTATACGTGCACTTAAATGAAGGATTTCGGATTGTGTAAGCGAAATCAACCAACGAAACAAAAATATTCGCTGTACTACAAAAATTACACCACAACAACAGAGAAAATACTATGTAGAAAGAACTTTTGTAAACAAAAAATTCTAATACTTGAACCGGGGAGGTGCTCCACCCTTATACGTGCACTTAAATGAAGGTTTTCGGATTCTGTAAGCGAAATCAACAAACTAAACAAAAATATTCGCTGTATTACAAAAATTACACCACAACAACAGAGAAAATACTATGTAGAAAGAACTTTTGTAAAGAAAAAATTCTAATACTTGAACCGGGGAGGTGCTCCATCCTTATACGTGCACTTAAATTAAGGTTTTCGGACTCTGTAATCGAAATCAATCAACGGAACAAAAATATTCGCTGTATTACAAGAATTACACCACAGCAAAGGAGAAAATGCTATGTAGAAAGAACTTTTGTAAAGAAAAATTCTAATACTTGAACCGGGGAGGTGCTCCACCCTTATACGTACACTTAAATGAAGGTTTTCGGATGCTGTAAGCGAAATCAATCAACGAAACAAAAATATTCGCTGTACTACAAAAACTACACCACAACAACAGAGGAAATGCTATGTAGAAAGAACTTTTGTAAAGAAAAAATTCTAATACTTGAACCGGAGAGGTGCTCCACCCTTATACGTGCACTTAAATGAAGGTTTTCGGATGCTGTAAGCGAAATCAATCAACGAAACAAAAATATTCGCTGTACTACAAAAACTACACCACAACAACAGAGGAAATGCTATGTAGAAAGAGCTTTTGTAAAGAAAAAATTCTAATACTTGAACCGGGGAGGTGCTCCACCCTTATACGTACACTTAAATGAAGGTTTTCGGATGCTGTAAGCGAAATCAATCAACGAAACAAAAATATTCGCTGTACTACAAAAACTACACCACAACAACAGAGGAAATGCTATGTAGAAAGAGCTTTTGTAAAGAAAAAATTCTAATACTTGAACCGGGGAGGTGCTCCACCCTTATACGTGCACTTAAATGAAGGATTTCGGATTGTGTAAGCGAAATCAATCAACGAAACAAAAATATTCGCTGTACTACAAAAACTACACCACAACAACAGAGGAAATGCTATGTAGAAAGAACTTTTCTAAAGAAAAAATTCTAATACTTGAACCGGAGAGGTGCTCCACCCTTATACGTGCACTTAAATGAAGGATTTCGGATTGTGTAAGCGAAATCAACCAACGAAACAAAAATATTCGCTGTACTACAAAAACTACACCACAACAACAGAGGAAATGCTATGTAGAAAGAACTTTTGTAAACAAAAAATTCTAATACTTGAACCGGGGAGGTGCTCCACCCTTATACGTGCACTTAAATGAAGGTTTTCGGATGCTGTAAGCGAAATCAATCAACGAAACAAAAATATTCGCTGTACTACAAAAATTACACCACAACAACAGAGAAATACTATGTAGAAAGAACTTTTGTAAAGAAAAAATTCTAATACTTGAACCGGGAGGTGCTCCACCCTTATACGTGCACTTAAATGAAGGTTTTCGGATGCTGTAAGCGAAATCAATCAACGAAACAAAAATATTCGCTGTACTACAAGAACTACACCACAACAACAGAGGAAATGCTATGTAGAAAGAACTTTTGTAAAGAAAAAATTCTAATACTTGAACCGGGGAGGTGCTCCACCCTTATACGTGCACTTAAATGAAGGTTTTCGGATGCTGTAAGCGAAATCAATCAACGAAACAAAAATATTCGCTGTACTACAAAAACTACACCACAACAACAGAGGAAATGCTATGTAGAAAGAACTTTTGTAAAGAAAAAATTCTAATACTTGAACCGGGGAGGTGCTCCATCCTTATACGTGCACTTAAATTAAGGTTTTCGGACTCTGTAATCGAAATCAATCAACGGAACAAAAATATTCGCTGTATTACAAGAATTACACCACAACAAAGGAGAAAATGCTATGTAGAAAGAACTTTTGTAAAGAAAAAATTCTAATACTTGAACCGGGGAGGTGCTCCACCCTTATACGTGCACTTAAATGGAGGTTTTCGGATTCTGTAAGCGAAATCAACAAACTAAACAAAAATATTCGCTGTACTACAAAAATTACACCACAACAACAGAGAAAATACTATGTAGAAAGAACTTTTGTAAAGAAAAAATTCTAATACTTGAACCGGGGAGGTGCTCCACCCTTATACGTGCACATAAATTAAGGTTTTCGGACTCTGTAAGCGAAATCAACAAACGAAACAAAAATATTCGCTGTATTACAAAAATTACACCACAACAACAGAGGAAATGCTATATAGAAAGAAGGGTTGTAAAGAAAAAACTCTAATACTTGAACCGGGGAGGTGCCCCACACTTATACGTGCACTTAAATTAAGGTTTTCGGATTCTGTATGCGAAATCAACTAACGAAACAAAAAAATATTTGCTGTATTACAAAAATTACACCACAACAGAGAAAATGCTATGTTGAAAGAACTTTTGTAAAGAAAAAATTGTAATACTTGAACCGGGGAGGTGCTCCACCCTTACATGCACTTAAATGAAGGTTTTCGGATTCTGTAAGCGAAATCAATCAACGAAACAAAAATATTCGCTGTATTACAAAAATTACACCACAACAACCGACGAATTGCTATGTAGAAAGAGCTTTTGTAAATAAAAAATTCTAATACTTGAACCGGGGAGGTGCTATACTGTTAAGTGCCAGTTCAAGAAAGTACATGAAGATTTATCCCTTGATCCGTCCGACAAAATAGAGTATCTCAAGCTGACAACTATGTCGAATAGCTGTGCTCGAGGCCTTGTGGAGAGCTTCCCTGCTGTTGCCGAAAACTACAGAAAGACGATCCACGTGCTGAAGGTTCGTTTCGGAAGAGAAGATCTGCAGATCGGGGTGTACATGGGGAGTTGCTGAATATGGTCTTTAAAAATGGAGATTGGGGAACTGTTTCCGCTTGTTGGACTTGGTTCAACGCCTCGCCCAACAATTTACATTGTCGTCCGGGAATGTATTGCTTATACTACTAGATACAGAATTTACTATTTTTCTGATTTTGTTTCGTGTTGTTGGCAAGATGTGGACCGTTTTTCTTTTTCAGTGAGTACAAAGAGAGAAGAATACTACAGTACGGCTCCGAAGATCTGCAGTACGAGGAGGTGTGGTCGTTTAAGTTCAACAAAAACGCCTCCGGTTCGCTCAGCGAAGACGATGAAGTCACCGTGATCAACGCTCCTCTCATTGTAAGTGTTGAAAACTCGCTTCGCGAGCTATAGTCGCATCTTCTAGTCTATCTTGCAAAGTGTGGAAAGCGCACCACTGCCCTTTCCACCCGCCATGATCGAAGGGGTGATCGGGGAAATTCTCGATTCCACCGAGCTGTTCATGACGGTACGCGTCGGCGACCTCACCTTCAAGGGCATAAAAATGTGCCACAAGAAAGATAAGAGCGCCATCGCTAAGCTGCTCTGTCTAACCATGTCGCTGATGAACCAAAAGATGCTGGAGTACCATGAAGACTACGCGCTATTCTCTCTTTTCAAATACGTAAGTTGAAGGATGCGTCGGTTTTGGAGTTCTATAACGCAAAGTATTCCAGAAAACGAAAGCTGATGGACCCTTCGTTTTGAACACTGGTGTGACTGATTCAAAGAAGTTGGGATTGATATCGAGCTACAAAGGAATGGCATCTACAGAGTTTTGGAATGGGACGTATTCGGCGTGCGATAAGGTGAACGGGTACTTTACCACCTTCCCGCCGTTCATGGAGGAAAATTCGTCGTACAATGTTTACAGTAGTGACATTTGCAAGTAAGTTGAACAACTCCTTATTGTCCATCCCAGACACACATTGGGAACTAGTTGAATTTGTGACAATTTCGCATATTTATGAGATGTTTGCTGAAGTTGCATAACTCAAAAACTTGTGTAACACAGTAAAAAAATACCACAAAATAAGCACAAAGTAAAAGGCAGGTTTTACAACACGGCTCTCTGTCGAATTCGTACAAAGAATTGCCCCTAATCTGTTGTATGTCAACACCGTCATTTAAGGCAAGAAATTTTTTATATGAGGTACCGTTATTTTTTTATCTAAAATTAAGGGTTGTAAACCTTTAAGACAATTATCGTCGTAAATCATTATGTGAGAGAAGTTAAAAAAGTCCGAAGTGAAAATGTTCTTAAAGATAGCCATCTCTGGGCAATTTAAAACCGTTGGTATTCCATGTATTTTGGTCAATTAATTGGCAAGTTATAACTAATTAGGTTTTTTCATTTAACGTCACTTTAATTTTAAGACAGAGAAGCTCGCAGTGAATGAGCTGCGTCTCCGTCTGCACTCCCGCGAAGTGCACCTAAAATAGTATATTAAGATACAAGTGTATAATCAAGTCTTTAAAGCACGCGCAACGAGTTTAAGGGCACGACGCAAAGCGGAGTGCCTTTAACGTTGCAAGTGCTTTAAAGACTAATTATACACGTGTATCTTATAGTTTTTTTATTATACCTGCAGTATAATTTAAAAATAGGAAATACAATGAAGTCATATTGACGTTATACTCGAATACATGTCTAATTAAGTGGGCTGGGTGTTCGTAATTTCACGATTGCCATGGAAATGTCACTTGACGTTTGCTTACAAAAATCATTTTCTTTGTGAATTAAACGATTTCCGTTGAAAAAGATAATACACCGCCCATTAAATCGATGGTTGTAAAATCTAAACAAACGTTGGTAGGTGTAAAATCCAACTCCAGTAAAGCCTATTATAAAGAATATGAAAAGTTGTTTCCATGGATGAATAGGAAGTTACTTACGAATACAGTCTTAAATGCATCCATAATGCTGGCATATATGAAGGAAATGTCAAAGGTATTTAAATCTTCTATACTTTGGTGCATTCATTCAAAACTTTAAAGCAACGCTGCGATTAAAAAGTGGAACAGATTTGGAAGCATACCCTAAATTACGCGCGTTTGTGAAAGCTTCAACCAAAGGATAGATACAAAAGCCAAAGAAATGTTCTGCATTTACAGAAAGCGACCTAAGAGGAGTTTTTATTTCATCCAGATGACAGTTTCAAAAGTCATACTTGAAGTATCGTTACTTAGCAACTTTAAAGCACGTGTGTTTTAAAGGCCCTTTTTCGCACGCATTTGAGTGTTTAAAACGGAGATTGTGATTCAGGTACCTATAATAAAAAAATACATTATGATATCGGCCAAGATGTCAAAATCGACAAATTAGGGAAATACGTGTTAGCCCAAAAGATATGAGCATGGTTTTGTGTTTACCTATCAAATCGAATATTACTCAGTAGATTGCTACTGTGCGATTCAGTTGCCTAAACAAATTCAATTGAACAAATTCAATTGAGTGATTTGCTGATAAAGTAGCTATCATGGGAAAGTATTGTGCTACAACGCATTTGTTAGATAAGATAATGACGACAAAACACTACTTATGAAAATAGGTGGGAGTAAATGAATTTATCATCTTGAATAGCCGATCAGTAGGTAAGTAACAAAGGATTGAATCCACTTTCCTAATTCCTTGTGTCGATGCATAGAACACAATGAAGAAACTTTACCCGCAATAGTGTTATCTAGGACGAAGTATTTACATTGACTTAGCATATTCAATTCATTCTAGGAAGGAAAAGCTCTTCTGGAACTCTAATAACAACTTGTGAGGAAAATGGGAAATTCACGCAATATTTCTTTCCTGGGATGTATTTACCTGGGGGGTATTCCTTAATCCATACCCCCTGGACCCCTCGGTTCTACAGTCACATCCAAAATTGTTAAGCCTTCAGCGCTCCTCTGTGAATTTGAGAGGCGTGGGATATCCTGTTGGCAAAGACAGTTACATAGCCCTCCCTGAAGGAACATACTGAAGGCTTAACAATTTGGGTAAGAGTATCACAATTTCAAATTCCTCACTCCCAATTGCAGACTCGTTCCCGATGTCTTTCCCTACGTTACCCTCTTTTTAGCGCATTTTCCAACGAAGTTGGGTGCGCTATTGCAGCCACTTTCTCTGTCCGTCCGTCTGTCCGAGGCCTTAACTACTACAGTTTTCAAGATATTAAGTTCGTTCTTTTTGCATTCGGTAGCATATATCTCTAGCACCTGACCCAAGGAAAATCTTGACAATTGCACTGCGCATGCGCAGACTGCGCAATGGCAACTTTCTCATTTATGGAGGTATTTCTTTGAAATTTTACTCAAAGATGCTTTTAGTGTAAGCAAACGTATCGCATATTGTAAACATCAGATTAATGTGCGCATGCGCAGGCTGCGCAATGTCAACTTTCTTATTCATTAATATATTTTGTTGAAATTTTAACCACAGATAGTCTGGTGAAGGCAAACATATCGCATATAGTAAAAATCAGATGTGCGCATGCGCAGACTGCGCAATGGCAACTTTCTTATTTATGGAGATATTTTTTTGAAATTTGAACCAAAGTTGCTTTTAGTGTAAACAAACGTATCGCATATTGTAAACATTAGATCAATTCGCGCATATCAACTGTTATTTACCGAGATATATTTTTGAAATTTTAATCACAGATGCTTCTGTTAAAGGCAAACGTAACTGATATTCCAAAAATTAGATGTGCGCATGCGCAGTCAGTGCCAACTTCTTTATTTATCAAGATATTTCTTTGAAATTTTAACTATATATATTATGCCTCTAGTAAAGAAAATCACAGCGCACATAGCTATGGACTTTTGGGAATCACTGATCATTCATGGAAAATGCGCTGAAGTTACTCGCCTTAGGGCGAAAACCTTTTTACTTGTTCGTCTTTCTCGGGAATCTTTTCTTTTTCTTCTAATTCTCCCGTTTTGTCCGAAAACACCCTCAAATAGCCCTTTCACATTTAATTAGTCTGTTACGGTACACCCTGTAGGTACATGAGATCGGCATTCATCAAAGTTCAAATAAGTATTGAAACGATATCGCAGTTGGCACGCATGGCAATTGTTGTCTTGCCTTTCTTTCCTTTTCAAACTGTCGAATCGTTAAGGTCGGTTGTGCAAATATTAAAGTACCTACCGAGTGAGATTGGAACCGGTCAGTCGCCACCAAAGATACCCACGGTACGTCACTACTCACTACAGGACGATAAGATTACGGGAAATATCCCGGTCACCATTTTGGGCGTCGGCCGCGTCGCGATCGGCTGGATCTGCTGCGGGCCGGGACAGTCGGGTGGAGGTATATCTACCGCTCCTTTTTTCGCCGCTCACCTTTAATTTAATTAAAATATATATAGTCGCGTCAAACTTGGACTGTGATAAAATGGTTATTGCTAATTACTAGTTAACGCACATGGTGCACCCTATTCTCTATGTATTACTAATTATTAATAAATTAATTGTACCCCACACAATATCGATCTTACCGATCTGCGGCTTCCCCGCTTATTATTATATTAGTATTAAGCGAGTCGCTTCACCGCAACTCGCTACAAGTCCAAAATGTTTCGTTTGGTGGACCCCTCTAAAAATCCGAAAATTTGCGTTTTACTTCTTTTCAGCAACTCCAAAGTTCGCCGGATGGAATCAACAGCATTTCCTCGGTATTTGGGAGCTGGTGAAGCACATATACAGGGTGGTGACTTGCGTAACGCATCATAGAGATTTCAATGTAAAATTCATAACCTGCGATTATTGGCTCCCCAAATTATTTTAGAGCAAAAATGTATTAGTTTTTTGTAGAAAAAAATTTTTTACGCCAATCAACCGTACTAGTTTTCAATTTTTTTCATATAAAGACGGAAAATTGGAAAAATAAAACCCGCATCTTTTTCAATAATCTGCGATGCCATGGAATTTTCTAAAACAAAAAGATATTCAGTTATCAATTAGCAGCAGTTCGATATGGATTTTATGATTATTATTATTATATTTACTGTCTTGCAGTTAATGGTGACTTATTCGAACATTTATTGTAAATTGTTATATTAGGAAACCGTTTTTAGTAATTTGGTCTTTCTTTATGTTGATGGTAAGGTGGTGTAATAGTTATTTGTGTACCAAGACCGTAAAAGTCATCTTTTTTTTGCCGAAGGTGCTGTTTTAATTCAGATGAAGCCTAACAAATCACTTTTGGCCAAGGGGCACACAACATTTTTTAGGCGATCATCAAAAAAGAATTCAAAAATTTGCTCATAAACATATTTTTTTTGAAAATCATAGTTATCTAGACTATTAAATCAAAGCATTTCCTGTCGTATGTAATTATAATTAGCATCTTTGCGTGTGTTTTGTGCGTATAAAAATGGGTGATAGCGACAGTTCAGATACCCCAAATGAAATTTTGGAAGCTGTAAGCGTTGCGACCCTAAGTCATATATGATCTAAGAGCAGGCGTTTGAGAGTAAAAGTACAATCGCAACTTCCTCCGTTGCACAAGATTTTAATAATGTCAAATGCAATAGGTCCATCGTTACTGTGGCTTCCAAGACCTTATAGTTCACATGCTGTACAATTATTAGAAACCTGATTACCTACTTTGATGGAGTGTATACCTAGGTAGCTACTTGTATTCTCGGTTAATTGCTGGTGATTCTTCGTATAATAATGTAAGCAATAACATCTTCCTCTTGTTTTGGTTCTACACTTCAAAAAGGTCTGCAAGCAGCAAAGATTGAAACGTCAAACTATAATTTTAAATGTGAACATTGTGATTATGCAAAATAGTGTGAAACATTTCTACAAGTCCGAAAATGAAAAAGTTAAAGAGTAATCGTAAACGATTTACATAAAGCGCATTTCCACTTGCATTCATTTCCCATTTGTA